AACAGAAAAACTGCCCCCCCTAATTTCATTAAATTTACTCAACTAAATAGAAATCCAGAGCAAGACCATAAAAGATGAAGATGCTGAACCAATAATTAAAAATCTTCCCACAAAGAAAATATCAGGCCCAAATGGTTTCACTGGTCAATTTTTCCAAAAATTCAAGGAATGAAAAACCTAATTTCACATGAGCTATTCCAGAATATATAGAAAGGATACCCTCTACACATTTGAGTATAACCTCAATGTTAAAAACCCAACAAGGACAATGTGAGAAGGAAAAATTACATGTTCTCAATCATAAATACAGATGCCAAAGTCCTAAATATATATTGGAAAAACTAGCCCAAGAATGTAATGTATAAATGATAAACCCAAGTTGTTATGTATTATCACAAGAATATGAGGTTGGTTTCATAGAAATCAATGTAATTCACCACACTGAAAAATGGAAGAGTATTTGTTTGATCCTCTCAATAGAGGCAGAAGAAGTGTCTGGTGAGATTCAACATGCATAAATATAAAAGCATCTTAGTACACTAAGGGGTAGAAGGAAATTTCCTCTAGCTTGATTAAAAAGGTAACAAGAAAATCTATAGTAAACATGAAGTACAGAAAACAAGTCCTCTTAAGATTCAGAACCAAAAAAGCCCATACTCTAGCCATTAGAAGTACATTATTCAGTCTGTCAAAGAAAGTTCCATTAAGCATCTATGAAACTCAGTTTCAGATCCCACAGTGAATTTGTGCTGCTGTATATAACATGCTGTTAACAGGAGTTCATGGAGAAGGGACAGGATGCGTCAGACTTCATTGATGGCTAAGCTATAAATGTGACTCACAGTCAAGTTCTTCCCTCTCTAAAAACTACAAAATGTGAAAGACAAAAATGAACAGCAATTTATTAGGGATAAACTTTAAGAGAGGAAGTAGAAGCAAGAGGAAAAACTTGAGTATATTAAATCTCTCAATCTATCTAGCATCTTTAGGGAATAAGTAGTTTTCAATTAAATCACAATTCCAGAAAACATAAGCTCATCCCTGAAGTTTTGATCACAATCCCTGAGAAAGAGAACCTTCTCAAATAGGTCACTGACTCTTTTAGATGGTGCGGCACACAACCAAGCCTTTCTTGACTCTGGGGACTTGGTTCTGACCCACAATTCCAGGGTGATAGCCTATCATGATACTGATGCTCTAAGGAAGCATCAAGAAGTAGAGGATTTTTCTGCCATCAAGGGTATCTTACATGTTGTCCTTTCTTAAGTTTTTGCTTCTTGGTGCCACACAAATGAGAGAGCAATGTATTCCAAAATTCTTAGATGATGCATTTCTTAGCGGAGCCCCTTCAGATGAAGTGTGGGAACTCAACTTGAGATGGTATAACAAATGGAATAGTAAAGACAAAAACATATCTGGCCAGTACTATGGGCATAATATAGGAAGATTCTCTAAGCTCCTTACCCAGCACATGTAAACAGCATAAACAGCACAATGAAAAATCTCGTGAGATTGGGAAGGCATGAAAAGCACTCCTCCTCATCACGGAGCAGCTGGTCTTGAAGGATAAATGGAACATGTCTGAACATGCCAAATCACATGGTTTTTTTTCCCTCCTTGGAGTTGGGGGGAAATCACAAATATGTCACAGCTTTCAAACACAATATTTACCTTCTAAAAATAAATTGAGTTGTGAAGAATTATACTAAGATTATACCAAACGTTAAGAATGTACTTTTGACTAGATTATGTCTTAGTTGTTTAACGTATAATCTTAGCAAACTACTACTATCAAACAGATGTTGAAGACAAGCTATTGGGCTAAATGTGGTCTAAAGGGGATCTAAATCATGATTTTTTAAACCTCAGAGTTTGCTCTATTTCTTCAACTGAAGAAGTAAGGCACTCTGAGCAAAACAAAAAAAGATAGGTGTTACAACATGGGTTTAGATAAGTGATGCAGGAATTAAGTAGGCTTTTGTAGTTTTAAGAGATGGATAAAGTTCTGGCAGTTTAGGAGATAGAGATGGATAAAATTCAAGGTCAAAATGGATTTCTCAAGGTCCTTTACTCAGCTCTTAGTGGACATTAATGGTTGTTAGCAAACCAACCCCCCCATCAAAGCATAACCAGAATGGTGTACTTATATGTTAATGTTTGGTTTCTAAATGTAGGACCCTGTATTTGGCTATGTGACCTTTTGATAGTCCTTTAGACACTCTGAGGTCTGATTTTTCTTTAAAATAGGGTTTTTTTTTTTAAATTCCGCCTTGATTACAGAGCTGTTTAAAAAGCTCAAATAAGACAGTATTTCCTTCTGTCCTGCAAAATACCACATTTTTGTTATGGGTTTAGTCTTGAAGAAATAGTCCCACCGATTTAAATAAAAAGTTAGCAAAGAACAAACTATAGTTACTAACAAAAGTAATCAACCCCACTTTCCACTTCTAGCAGGCATAAGTTTTTAAGTGTGATTATTAAGCTTGTTAGCATACATGACTGCAATTCCTACTACTTTTAGAAAATCAGAACAGGGATTTTAGTTCGTCTCATTTTCTATGTGCCATCCAGTATCTACAAGCAAAATCACTTGTCATGTTTTTGATTTTGCATCCCAGATACCACATTATCTCAATAATGGACAAGGGCAATAAGAACAAAATTCAGAGTACTGGGTGCTTGATGCTTAAAAAACAGGTGGGTTGGAATTAGAATAGGTATGGGGGTAGAAGAGAGCAGAGTCATTTCTTAAACGTGTGACAATAATATTTCCAGTTCCTGTCCCAGACCCACAACATGATTTCTGGGATGGAGCGAGAAATCTGCATTTAACCCTCTACAGAGACTTGTGTGCACTCACAGCTGTGAGACTACAGTCCCTCCTGCAGAAGCCTGAGCTCCCAGTCTTGTTTTTCTTTCATCCATTCAGGTGTCTGCAGGACACTCTGCCCTTCCTCCAGTCTCTCAAGGATCTCTGTATCACCTACCTCATGTGTGTGAGGTCTTGTCATTTCAAACCCATTGTTCCTAAAGGCAGAGGGTAACCAGGGGAAGTAAGTGTGAGATGGAAAAGCTGAGTTCAGGGAGGAATCATTCCCCCAAAAAATACCTACTTTCTGGTTCCTGCCTTTGGACACCTGAGGACAGACACCCTAAATCTTAGGGATCAAACGTCCTCGTTTTGGGAGGAGGCTGGGTTGCCTGGAGACACACCTACTTCATCACTGAGACAGGCTGTCTGCCAGGGCTTCAAGAGGACAAATAACCACCAGCAAAATTAGGGTATTTCTCCCCCAGTTCAGTTGACCATTGACATTTGTTTACCCAAGCCCCCTGGATAAGAAACATACTGGGGGGATATATGAATAAAAGAGATTTAACACAAAGTTAATCTTTCTCTACGTGTGATATAACAAATACAAAGTTTGCTTATTATTTCAAATATTGCATGTATACCCCACCCCAACCCTGCTCCTCCATTAATAATCCCTTCAGAAAATCAGAACGGTCGTTTAAAAACACAAAACCAAAAAAATTATCAAAATAAAAATGGTATCCTGGCCTGAGTTCACAAACTGGCAGGCCTGCGGGATGACTTTGCCCACAGAGAGGTTTTGTTTAGTCTGCAAAGTGTTACTGCTGTTTTCAATTTGAATTAGTGGCTGACTAAGAAAAACAAAATCAAACCTAGAATTTCTACAGAAAAATCCAAATTCCCAAATTCTCTTGAAAAAGTACAAGACTGTTAATAGAAGGTATTAGCCACCACAAAGCTTTTGCTTGTTATCTCCTTCCGCTGAGCTCCCTGTCGAAACGGAGGCCTACCACTGAGCCAGCCCCCCAGCCAACACTCTGTCCTCAGGCCGTGTGTACCGTTGGCGTTCGTGGCCCCTGGCCTCATCAGGAGAATAGACACTAACCAGCCAAATTGTGTAGTTCTTTATGGTGACTTTTACAACAAAAGGGGAAGGGAATTGGAACCTGACAAGAGTGCTTACTTTTTTTTCCCCTGCATTTCATCTAGAAATAAAGAAAATGACCTCCAATTAAATACTAGCAGGCGTCTGGGTTGGACCAGCCAGGGGAAGATACACTCATATGTCCTTCCTCTCCTGTACTCCTCCCCCACACCCACCAATGCAGAGCAAGCAAGACAGGACAAACAACGGTCACCATCCTGCGGCCCTTGGTAACCACAGACAACTACCGCCTACGTTATCTCCTCCTCCCAGAGAGACTTGAAATAAAAAAGACAGGCCCTCAAAACATCCTCTATAAAGGGAGGCCACAAGCATCCAAAACTTTAGAATACTACAGATAATGGATTTTGAAGGCTGGGACCTAGGAGGTTAAGTTTGGGGTTTGCAGAATAAGTTCCCTTTATGCTTTAGTCTTTCTGAGATTGAATGACTCTGAATAAGTTTCTCCTGATGCCTCAATTTCCTTAAGAATGTAGAACTACCTGGAGTGAAACAAATCTCTCTATGAAAAGTGGAAAATTATAAATGAGGTCCTTAACTGATCCCCTGTTGTGACAATGTGTTAAACTCAAAGGCGTAGTAATACCTCATAACTCGGCCATCTTCCCTAATACATAAGATGGCAATAAAGTATTTATGGGTACCATAAAGCAAGGCATAGTTCTAGCAGGCAGTATCCAGTGAGGAGCCAGGAAACCTGCCCTCAGTGAGGGTCAACAGGTTGTGTGTCCCGAGGAAGCCCCTCCTCCTTTACCTCTACAATGCGAGGACAGTGCTAAATATTTCTCCCAACATATTTCGCAAAGATGTTGTAATGTCTATAAACCATTTGCAGTACCCCAGGAACCGGGTGACAGATAAACAGGTCATATTCGTATTAGTAGTCTTACCTCACAAGATGCCTCCATGGAATGGGAACTTTAAAGATACCTGGTGAGTATGACTAACTGCTTCCCCTTCTCCCTGTGAGGTAAAGGGGGCAGGATGGAGGTGGTAGAAGCAGCCCAGATCGGCACCCACCTCTGTTCTGATGGATACTGGTTTTCAGGCATCATCTTTGGCATCTGCAGGGGCTGATGTGGCGGCCGGGGAACTGCAAAGGTTTGCTGCTGTGGTCCAGGCTCTGGAAGCGAATGAGGGGCGGGGGCAGGGCCCACACCTTGTACTGGGCCAGCTGCAGGGGCATGTGCCGAGGTGGGCAGCGATGCCTGCGGTGGGGGAAATAGGGAACTCTGGGAGGGTGACAGTGGGGTGGTAGGAGGGGTTAATGGCTTGAACCCCGAGGGAGGCTTCCTATCATAGGCACTGTAAACAGAAAAAGAGAAGGAACCATTAAGCTGCAATGAAGCCATTAGCATGGTCACCCGGTCCAGCAGAACGCTAGGTTGCAGCCCACGGTTGCCAGGAAATGACAGCATTAACATAGTTAAATCGCTGGCAGCCCCGAGGGAATATTTGTACCTCTGAAAAGTGACAAACACACTGCGTCACAGGGACTTGTTTAACACTTCGAGTGATTCTTCTCAAAGATAATTTTAGCCTCTGCTTCCGGTTTCTTTTTTCCCCTTTTCTAAAAGAATTCTCCACGTATGCATGTGAGGAGGTGGACGAGGGGAGAACTTATGCCTTGGGAGGAGTTTTCTAGCCCCCCTCTTCCAAGTATTCCAGGGTTCCCAGGAATAAGAATCTCTGTTAAAGATAAATTTCTGCTGTAACTCCACTTGAATTAACAGCTCTGCTCCTCCCCCTTTCAGGCAGATCTATGTTTGTCTTCTAGAGCAAAGAATGATTTAAAATTAAAGCTTCTTCCTGGGGCCTGGATATTCTTAAGTAAAGGGCACAAGCATGGGGACTTTTTCATATATTCCGATTTGAAGATTACTTCTTTGGTGCTTAAAGTTCACATTAACATATGATAGACATGAAGAAGTATATATTCCCTCCCTCGAAGCCATAGATCAACTATCCCAGCATTCGAGGTTCTTCCCCTTAGGAGGGCTCAGTACCCCCATGAACTCAGTTCCCCTGTGGGGCTGATTTAACAGTTTTGCATTTTATGTGCAGCACAAGAGCCCCATTTGGCCTGGCTCACGCCTAGAGGATCACGACACTGCCCCGAGAGACAGGGTGCGCTCCCCTAAGTGTCTGCCGAATAATACTTGAAACAAGCAGTGTGACGGCCGCTTTCTGGCCAGCCTTTCCCTGGCTCCACTTACCAATAGTTGTAGAGGCACTTTTCTCCATAATTAGCACCGAGAGCCTGCTCATGGCTGCAGGACGACAGCTCAGAGGAGGGGCTGTGCAGCTCCCGTTTGATCTTGGTTGGAGGTGGGGCATGAAGCACCACTGAAATCAGAAGAGGGATGAGGGAGGAACAGAGAGAGGACAGCTGGTTAACAGGGAGCACAATGCTTCCTTCTGCAAACCCTATACTAGCTGATTGTTCTTGGAACCCGTGTCAAGTCACATGCCAGAGAAAGCCTAACACACACAGCCTTCCATCTAAAACCAGTGAAGAGATTTTTAAAGTCAGAAATCATCATCTGACACTTTCAACTAGCCAAGTCTTTTTGTCTAAGTTCCTTTGGTATTGGGTCTGCTTCCCAGAGGCTCTGAAGCCCTTAAAAATCCTATGGGTGATGCTTCTTCAAGAAAAATGCAGGTGTGACAGAATACCAAGGGTTGTAGATGAGAAGAATTTTGCTTTTGAAAAGTACAAAACAGCCCAAAATATACTGGTGGGCATTACGTATTAGCTTATCAAAGGCTTAAAATTGCTCTGGCAAATACATTCCTTATTCAGAGGTAGATCTACAACATTAAATACATGACTTAAAACATAACTCCTTAAAAGTCCTTCCTCCAGCAACTCTACGTATTAGCTCTGAATAAGAAATACTCGACTTTGGGGCATTTCAAAAATCTTAAAAGCAGAGGAAAACAACAATGGACGGAACCACAACCTGGGAGAGGCTAAACCGCACAGGAGGAGGCCTGGAAACCTCCGTGCTCTTGTCTGCTCTGCCTTTCCTAATGCCCAAGCAGGAAAGGCAGGCTTTCCCAACCAACCCTTTTCCAGATGGTGCCAATTACTTTTCCTAAATCGATGAACTAGTACACAGAGCTGTTGTTTTACATTTGGAAGTCAGCTGCACATTCCATATGTGATTCTGAAAGGCAAGGTAGTAAGAGCTTTTCAAGTCAAGGTGACTTACACGCAGTGGCAAAACCAAACAGAACCAAACCAGGTTTGCCCTTCCTGTCTCATCTAGGAGCTAACTCATTTTAGAGACGGTGCTTTATCCCAAGCAGAAGGACAAACTCTAAATAGGCTGTACTACGAGGGCTGTCTTCCAGCGATGGGTTAGAACCGCCACTCCGTCCAGCTACCTGGGAGGGGAGGGAGGGAATGAGTTAAGCTTTCCTGCCAGCCACTTTCCACTGGATCAGAGTTGTCACTAACTGTGGCTAGTGCTCTGGGGACCCACTAAATTTTCTGTTCCACTCAGTGTTTACTCCTAAGCCACTTTCAGGAGCTTGATTTTCTTAGTGATTATCATTTTGCTGATTCTACCTAATATAATCTCTTTTCTGTCTAATAAGATGGAACAATCTTCCCCACCAACTGGTTCCTCAGGTGTCTCCTCCAACCCCAGACTCCGGACTCAGAAGTGAACAAATGAGATGGAAGACTTGATCACAGACGACAAGTTTGTAAAGCAAAGTCCTGCCAGTGACTGACTGGCAAGGACAGGTTTCCATAATTCCTTTCCAACACAATGCCAACTGCTTTTCCCAAACACACAGAATAAGTTCAGAGCGGGCAGATTATATTTAGAAATCATTAGAGTCTCTCTCATGATTTTTTGATGGTAACATCACGGCAGCCAACCCTCAATTGCTATAAAGTGTTTCCAGACATTCAGACACAGAAGATCGCTACACTTGTTGTTGTTATAATGTTGTCAGTAAACGAGCAGGGAGAATCACACAACGTGACACAGAAAACCATTCCTCCATACTCCGTGCGTTCTCAGCACTGCCCCTCTGTCACTGCCTTTCCTCTTACCAGTCTCCTGCCATTAAGGTTTTGGCAAAATAATGAGGAAACGTGGTGATACCCCAATGCAAACTGAAGTTACATGTCCTGGAAAAGTCCACTTTTCTTACTTTATCTAAGGAAACTCATTTATAGTTGTTTTACCTAAGTTTAGAGAGTAAACAGTTATGGCATTATTCAGTTGTTCTCATTTCCAGTTTTAGAAATGTTTTGACATTTTCACAGTATTTTATAAAAGTTATCAGTTCTTCTGACAAGACTAATACCGGAGGGTAAACCAAAGATTCCCAGAAAGAAAACTTTTATAATGGCTTCAGGATGGCATATACCCATTTGGAAAGAGAATCTAAACTTTTGGCTAACTCTGATGTCATGATTTTCTTCAAACCTACACAGTATTCTTAGTGTGTACCATACCATTTTGGCTCTAAATTATATGGTATCTTCTACCATACCAAACTGTCCTATACTTGGAATCATATGTTCTCTACCCAAAGGAGGAGTTCAAGAAACATCTGATATGTGCTATGATCTGAATGTGTGTGTCCCCCCACTCCCGCCCCCAAATTCATATGCTGAAATCCTAGTGCCCAATGTGATGGTATCAGGAGGGGCCTTTGGAGTGATTAAATCATGAGGGAAGAGCTACCTGAGGACCCAACAAGAAGTCTGTGGCCTGGAGGAGAGCCCTCACCTGACCGGGCTGGCATGCTAATCTTGAACTTCTAGTGTCTACAAGAGTGAGAAATAAATTTAATAGCTATCCAGTCTGTGGTATTGCAGCAGCCTGAAAAGATTAAGACAATAAGTGATCAGATTGTTTGCAATTAATTCTTACCTTGAAGGCAGGGACTACATCTACCCTTCAAGGAGAGGTACAATGTTAGTTATAAATAGTTTTTCCCTCAGGGCAGGAAGGAGAGAGAGGAGGGTGGAACATGGCAGGAATGAGAATTGGGAGGTTGACAAATGACAGGAAAGCCATCTGGGGCCCTGTGAGGGCTAAGGAAGAAGGCTCAGCTCTCCAAAGGGACTGTTGGGCCAGAAGATGTATGAAGGAGCCTGTCTGGGGTACGCGTGAGTTAGGGATAGTGGTGTGTCTTCAGCAGGAACTTAGGAGCCTAAGGAATGGTTCCTGCTTTCAGTCTGTTCCCTCTCTGTAAAATGAGATATGTGATGCTGCCTTGAGAAGTAAAAAAAATGGCCCAGCACCTTGCAGATGGTGCTATGATGTTGTCTAATTATACACTGTGCTTTCAAAAATAGAGTATTTACCTTCACACAGGCGACTTACTAAACAAAGACAGAGACCTACGACTAAAAAGCCTGGCAACAAATTGCAATTTAAAAAGGAGCATGAACTCCTGAGGAAGTTTGAAGAGAACTATTTGAGTTGGTAAAATCAAATTTCCTAATTATAGAAAATGTTTAAGCTCAGTAATAGAGGATGGGCCCTGACAACAGTTCCTGGTGAATATGGACCACCCTTCTTGTTGAAGAGATTTCTTTCCTGCATTCAACCATTCATCTATCCATCCATTCATTCATTCACTGAGCATCTTTTATGGGTCAGGCATGCTGGAAGTGCTGGGGATATGATGGTGAACAAAACAGACATGGTCCTTTCCTCAAGGCATGCATAGTTTAGTGAGGGATCTGACTTTTAGCATCTTCCCTAGATGCAATTAGAGTTGGACTAGGGCCTCACAGTCCACTTAATTCAGGCCCTTGCATTTATAGATAAGAACTGTGAGGCCCAAAGGAGTTAAAGGAACTGCACAAGGTCTTGGAGCTGCTGCTACTGGAGGGGAAAGGAGGCAAGAACCCCCTCACTGTCATTTCAGTAATCTGCCACACTGACAGGAATGGGAGACTCTGCACTTACCCACTTGGCACATCACAAATGAAGGACAGAAACCTTTTATTCAACTAAAACAACAAAAATACATCATACCTGGTTGAGAAAAAAAAAATGCTCTAGGACAAAGGAACAATGGATAAGAACTAATACCGCTGGAAAAGGATGAGGTAGACAGATCAAGAAAGAGGCAGCCAGACAGGCTCCTTATCATTTGCTTTAGCCAGTTTGCTTACATACATCACTTTATTCAGTCTTCCCAACTCAGTGAGAAGCCTACTTCCACTGTCTCCACTCGCTTTTAGAGATGAGAAAACCAAGGCTCAGAAAGGTAGGTAATGCGCCATTGTCTCACAGCTGTAAGTGGGCAGGAGTCCTGCTACACAGGCATTAGTCATTCCATCATACTGCCTCCCAGAGGGAATCTGAGAGACTAAATCAAAAAGATTAAAAGAAACAGGGAAAGAGAAAAGAGATGGAGAAAGATGACAACACCAGGGAAGAGGAAGGAGGGACACTGCTTGCAATTCTTAGGGTCTGTATCCTCATGCTGACTGCGCTCTCCAGCTGGAAGCACACCGGATGCACCTGAATCCACTCCAGGACTTACACCCTCCCCTAACTCCAGGCCACCAAAATGCCCAGGATCCCTCCCTCACCCCTACTGGAAACTAATATCTGGACTCCAGCAGCCTCTAACTTACAATCCTTGCCTCCCATTCTAGTATTCCATCTAAAAGATCTCCTTTCTTCTATTGTCCAGCTGACAAATCTGCTCATTTAAACAGATGCAGGCACTCTGGAAGACCTGGCGTCTACAGCCAGTCACTGATCAGCCAGATGCCACGCTGTTGCCATGGATTCCATCTTGCGCCCCAAGTCCCTTGCCCCTTATGAAACTGCTTCTTGACAGTTCCCTCTTAAAGCCACTTCTGAGGCAAGAACACTCTGAGCTGTCTGGACCCCTACCTGACTGCAAGAACTCTGTTAAGGATCCATGCACAAACATTTACGAGAGTCTCTGCCTGTCAGGGGTAGGAAAGACAAGGGTGGGTGGCTGACAAGATTTAAGTCCACATCTGGGGGGCACGCACTACCAACTATAATGCATTGCTTTGCAGCCCACCATAACACCACTTAAAATTTAGATATGATGGTCACAAATCAACCAACTTAGCTTCATAGTTGCTTTTCCTTCTAGGGAACTTCTTGGAAGATTCTATCTGACATAGTGATCAAAAATCAGGCCTGATCATAGCTAATGCAGTAAGTCAAGAAAAATAAAAGGATTAGAAAGGAAAAATATAAGTCATTATTCACAGATGCCCTGGTTGGATACACAGAAAATATAAAGTATTCACAAAGTATAAGAATCAATAAGCTAATTTACCAAGATCATTGGCTACAAGGCTAATATATAAAAATAAC